TCTTTATTCTTAATAGACTATGCTTAAGATGGACTCGTCATTTTTTAAGATGTCGTACTCAGGAATTATCAGCAGACGACACGTTAGCGGGCTCATCAGTTTATAGTGTCATCGCTAAATATTGTATGAGTACGACACATTAGCGGAATCGACATTATCGAAGTGTCCATGTGTGAATTATCTTGTATCCTCTATCGAAACAGGGGGGTATTGCTATGTTTCGATACACTTAGATGACGAGCTCATTGTTGCGAGAGGCATTGTGTTCGGCTTGCGTCCAGCTATTATGTCCATCTTTCTTTTCATTAGAAGCCACGATAGCAACTCTAGATCAATCTATATATCTCAGTGTAGAAGTGTTGCTTCTGATAAGGTGGTTGCCTTTTTTGTCGGTACAATACCGGTTTACGGGGTGGTTTCGTTCATGAATTCATGATTGTTTTTGTCCAATCAGGTCATGAATTCATGGTATATCGGTAAATGTGAGATCGCGACGGCACCCTCCGATTTTGGCTACCGAGGATGTAACATTCGTTGTGACACCGTTTTTTCATAACTGCGATGTGCCATTAATTTATGAACTCGTCAATTCGCACTACTCGCTCACTACGTCCTTGAACTCATGAACCAAAAGACCTGAGCAGCCTTGCGCTAGTCCGCTTCTCGCAATGTTGTCCAGAGACTCCTCCACATCATTCAAGCGATCCTTGACGGTTTTCTTGCGGTCCATCTCTTCGCGGAGTGCATTGATCGTTTCCAGATGGATACCGACAAGAAATCCATCCTTGATAAGAAGTGCAGCACCAGAATCTCCAGCGTACGTTGGGCACGAATACATGATGTGTCTTCTGTGAGCACTGATGGAGATACCGGCTACCGGAGCAAATCCCAGTTGATTCTTGAACACGTCTTGGTATTCGTCAATACCGAGTCGATACGATGCCAACACAAGATCATAGCGTCCTCTTAGTTCATCTGGTCTTCCATTCCATGGAGGAATGAAGAATGATCTGGGTTTGGACGACTTCAAAATCGCAAAGTCCAGCAGAGAGCTGCGAGCAACAACTTCAACAGCTTCAATACCTTCCTTCAACGCCAGAGACACCATGCTTCCCACAGTGTGTTGCTCCGTTAGGTTATGGTCGCATGTCACCGCTAGAGTCGGGCTGAAAAACACACCCATTCCAACACCGTTGCGTTCTTCGTCTTCTTCCACGATCACAAATACTGCCTTTTCGACTTGTTCTTGAACGTTTGGCTGGATAAAATAGCGTGAATCGCTTTCTGCGCGCTTCGGCACTTGCACAATGAGCGCATTATCTTCATTATTCCCATACGCCGTAACTGGGGACCCCGACTGGGGCAGCAGCACGCTTCGCTTCGCATCGTACTCCGCCCGGTTCGCAAAGACTGTGAGATCGGACGCAGCAATCCCTGCTAGGTGGCTGTCTCTGAGCTTCTCCTTCACCGCATCCCGCAACGCAACAACATCTTCGATATCCACGACAACAGCATCAGTCGACGTCACCGCGTTCCCATCTTTGCCTACGAGCTGGAACCATTTCCGCGCCATCCTTCAATCTGACACGGCAACTTCGAGAATGAACTCTCATGAAATAACCTCAGCTGAGGTTTTAGAGGACGAAGCGTATCGTCTATGTTTCATTGTCCGCTCTTCCTACCCCTAAAAAGGAATCGAGAGTACCCCTAGCCATCCTCAGAGACAGCGATGATGTATTAATAGTATGTAGTATTGTGCGTTCTATTCGAAATTTCCGCGGGCCGTCTGACAGACAGCCCGCGCATCCCAGTCGTGGTAGCCCTATCATACAACATGATTTTTGGCGCTAATCCATAATAGATCCTCTGACTCGCCATCTTCATTCATGACAAGTGCGCGGAGTCTTCTGTGCGAGTCTCGCACTGCGAGATGCGCTGTCACTTTAACTTCAACGTGAATCTGGTATCTTATTAGATAATAAAAAAGGTTTTCTTAATTTTGACCTCTAACAGCGCAGCGTCGATTCGCCGTTCGCTTCGCGCCTTTCTCCGAATCGTCCCGCTTCGGCAAATTATTAGAGACCTTTCGAGCACAGTGTTGGAGCCGGTTTGCCGGAACGCTCAGTGCAACTCTTGATATCCAGCAACCCGCAACCAGCACGCTCAATTTTGCTTCCGAAGAAGTAGATGATGTCGAGACGACTCTTCGTGCTTGATGGTCACAGTAGCGGGGGGGCCCGCGGAAATTTCGAATAGAACGCACAATACTACATACTATTAATACATCATCGCTGTCTCTGAGGATGGCTAGGGGTACTCTCGATTTCTTTTTAGGGGTAGGAAGAGCGGACAATGAAACATAGACGATACGCTTCGTCCTCTAAAACCTCAGTTGAGGTTATTTCATGAGAGTTCATTCTCGAAGTTGCCGTGTCAGATTGAAGGATGGCGCGGAAATGGTTCCAGCTCGTAGGCGAAGATGGGAACGCGGTGACGTCGACTGATGCTGTTGTCGTGGATATCGAAGATGTTGTTGCGTTGCGGGATGCGGTGAAGGAGAAGCTCAGAGACAGCCACCTAGCAGGGATTGCTGCGTCCGATCTCACAGTCTTTGCGAACCGGGCGGAGTACGATGCGAAGCGAAGCGTGCTGCTGCCCCAGTCGGGGTCCCCAGTTACGGCGTATGGGAATAATGAAGATAATGCGCTCATTGTGCAAGTGCCGAAGCGCGCAGAAAGCGATTCACGCTATTTTATCCAGCCAAACGTTCAAGAACAAGTCGAAAAGGCAGTATTTGTGATCGTGGAAGAAGACGAAGAACGCAACGGTGTTGGAATGGGTGTGTTTTTCAGCCCGACTCTAGCGGTGACATGCGACCATAACCTAACGGAGCAACACACTGTGGGAAAGCATGGTGTCTCTGGCGTTGAAGGAAGGTATTGAAGCTGTTGAAGTTGTTGCTCGCAGCTCTCTGCTGGACTTTGCGATTTTGAAGTCGTCCAAACCCAGATCATTCTTCATTCCTCCATGAATTGAAAGACCAGATGAACTAAGAGGACGCTATGATCTTGTGTTGGCATCGTATCGACTCGGTATTGACGAATACCAAGACGTGTTCAAGAATCAACTGGGATTTGCTCCGGTAGCCCGGTATCTCCATCAGTGCTCACAGAAGACACATCATGTATTCGTGCCCAACGTACGCTGGAGATTCTGGTGCTGCACTTCTTATCAAGGATGGATTTCTTGTCGGTATCCATCTGGAAACGATCAATGCACTCCGCGAAGAGATGGACCGCAAGAAAACCGTCAAGGATCGCTTGAATGATGTGGAGGAGTCTCTGGACAACATTGCGAGAAGCGGACTAGCGCAAGGCTGCTCAGGTCTTTTGGCTCATGAGTTCAAGGACGTAGTGAGCGAGTAGTGCGAATCGATGAGCTCATAGATTAATGGCACATCACAGTTATGAAAAAACGGTGTCACAACGAATGTTACATCCTCGGTAGCCAAAATCGGAGGGTGCCGTCGCGATCTCACATTTACCGATATACCATGAATTCATGACCTGATTGGACAAAAACAATCATGAATTCATGAACGAAACCACCCCGTAAACCGGTATTGTACCGACAAAAAAGGCAACCACCTTATCAGAAGCAACGATGTACACTTCTACACTGAGATATATAGATTGATCTAGAGTTGCTATCGTGGCTTCTAATGAAAAGAAAGATGGACATAATAGCTGGACGCAAGCCGAACACAATGCCTCTCGCAACAATGAGCTCGTCATCTAAGTGTATCGAAACATAGCAATACCCCCCTGTTTCGATAGAGGATACAAGATAATTCACACATGGACACTTCGATAATGTCGATTCCGCTAATGTGTCGTACTCATACAATATTTAGCGATGACACTATAAACTGATGAGCCCGCTAACGTGTCGTCTGCTGATAATTCCTGAGTACGACATCTTAAAAAATGACGAGTCCATCTTAAGCGAAGTCTATTAAGAATAAACAAAACATAATTTTAGTCACACAACTACGAAAATGTGCAGCTTCATTAAAAGCAACGTGGAGCAGTGAAAACTTGCTCGCAACAAAGAATGTGGCAACAACGCGATTATTATTGATCGAGAGGAAATTATTGTCGTAGAGACTAACATAATAGAAGAAATGCCGCCTCAACCGAATACCCCAGCTATTGCTGAGGTTATTCCTACACCAACCCCATCGGTGATCAAGCCCGTCAAGGTCTCGAATATCTGTGTAAGCAAAGTTCAAGAATTGGATGAGTCGATTCTCGCACCGGTGATCGCGGTTAGCGTGGTATATAAAGAGGATCAAAGTTCGGAATCAGAATTAACCCCTCCGTTACCAGAAAGTCCGAGTTGGAACCGCCTAATATAAATCGTAGCTTACGACTTCGTTTTTATAGTACTTATTGTATGTGCGTGTCTTGTCCACGTCAATATCTCCTCGATTCCCGCTATTAACTCCCAGAGGTTTAAAATCTAAGCCGTAAGCGTTACGACATTGTGAGCAAAATATAATTCGGAAAGCCAAAACTTACGACTTTCAGACTGCAACGCACATTTTTTTGTTAGCAACAGATCCTTCCTTGCCAATCCATAAAAATGTACGAATATCAAGTAAACGCAGTGCTACCTAATCCATTTATACGATTGCTGACTGTAGAACATCCTGGCCTACAAGCTCTTCCGCCTCATTATTAGCGTCGCCATCTTGACAAATCAGTTCTCGTCGCGTGGGCTTACGTGCATCCACCTTGCCTGAGCGCCGCAAGACGACGCGGTTCCCGAGGGATGCTGGGATGGAAACCTCACTCTCGAAGTCTTCATGCCAAATTTGGTAGCATGTCTTTCGTGCACCCCTGTAATTATGCCGCGACTTGGGGCACAGGGAGCCCTTCGCACCAGGCTGTGAGCAGTCTTTACAGTAGTAAGTGGTCTGAAATGGTTTCTTTCGCTCGCCGCGGAGAAGAGCGCAAACTTTACAGGAACGTTGACGGCATTTCTGGACGGCTGATACGATTACCCAGTCGTCAAACTGCACATGCACGTGACCAATTAGTCGGCGGCGCTTTCTGGCGCGGGCCACAGGAGAAGGAGTAGGGGTAGAGGCGTCGACAAAGTCGTCTGCAGTGAGCTGCAGTAGTTGTTTGTGCAGGAGGATATACCAGTCTCCACGGTCTTTAGGTACGAGTCGCTTGAGCCGATACGTCTCCTTCTGTGTGAGGTATGCATTCACCAGTGCCATGTCTATCAAGCCCATGAGCAGTGATTTGTAGTAATTCTGGAATCGGAACGCTGTCTGAATCGAATACGACTGGATGCGGAATTGATCATGGACATCAACGCCGCTCATCCGGCGTTGATTTTTCGGTAACGAGCTTCGGGCACTTAAATGTTGACGGTCCTACCATTTTGATGTTTTAATGGATTGAGTCTTCTACCATGGTAGGACCTAGTGTACTGATTTCCTGTCCCACCAATGGCAGGCAATCATGGTCAGAATAGCATCTAACCGCGAGAACGCGAAGGATCCCCGTTCTATCGCAAGCGGTCTTGTTTTGAGTTTCGAAGTGACTTGCTTATCAAGCGCCTAGCCGGTTAATCATGATCGTCCCTAGCCCGTAGACCGACATCGATAGAAGCTGTATGGCCAGCGGTGTCGAGGAATAGAAACGGTCGATTACAACTAATCGAAATCCCAGAGAGACCCCACTCAGAACAGCCTTCATGTTTCGTATCACTGCTGCTGCTCCCGTCTTGTTTTTGACCTTTTGTTGGTCCCTATCTTCTGTATCTCGCTTCCCGACGTACATCTCAAAGCTGTAGTCGCAAGTCACGACATGGAACAAATCAAATAAGAAATTAATGTCAAACGTTACGACTTATTATTTTCATTACAAACCGCACCGATGACAGTACGCACTCTTGGAATCGCACACCATGAACGATACGGTTCCGTAACGGTGGGGATTGTCAGGCATGAATATCCGTGTTGTGTTTTGCTTCAATGCCGACGGTAGAGCGCCTTCACCAACGGAGAACGTGCTACCAAGTGTCCAACCCGAGCGAAAACGAGACTGCAACACGTCCACAACCGGCCTCAACTTCCACATCTTATCGCGAACGCGCGGGGCCTCATTGTTCACGATGTGAAAGTTGCGAAGGATCGAAGTGCACCGGTTGTGATCCATGAACTTGCCAAAGTTACCGGCTAATAGTGCGCCATTATCGGCCATCGCCCAATGTCCTGAGAAACGCCGCGTCATCGGGCTCAGCATTCTTGTCACTAAACGTTCCATTACCTCTAAGATCGCATGCGTTTGGTTCGCAGGGTCGGCCCAAAGATGCCTTTCAATCTGCTTGATAGTCTCTATCGTCGCAGTATAACGCTGCCGTTGTTTTATTCGAATTCGTTTTGCTCTGGCGTGTGCAGTTTGTCGCTTGTAGCGGTTGGTCTCCTTCGTAATGCTAATCCACAGCGACTTTGGCAGATAATAGAAAAATAGGAGCATCGGCGAGTCCGCATAGCTTGGATCTCTGGCCTAGGGGTAGCAACATCAGTAGACAGATCTGCATATGCTGCACAATCACGTTCAAACTCGGACGAGGGTGCACTCCACGATAATTTCCGAAGCGCGCTCTTGTCGATATCTTTAAGGGCAAGCTTTCCACGCACCAACTCCACAATGCCATCGTCCATTAGGGCGACATCTTCGTCAGGTTCCAGTGAGTCGTCGGGATATTTGCGCCGCTCAATGATCTCATATACACTATTAGCGCTGTTGTCACTACCGATCGAATCGATATCCTCATAGGCGTCCGACACTTCTCCATCCGCCATGATGTTCACGTCGTCCTCCGCTACGTCAACGCAGTCATCCGGAGCGTCCTCCACACTCTCATAATCATCCACACTGGCACCGTCGCTCGCGTTACCATTATCCGAGTTGTTAGACTCGGCGCCCGACAAGAGGCGCTGAAAGGCACCGCTGACCAGCTCGGGATCTGCCTGGTCCAGACAATTCAACTGGAAACCGCTTTCCGATCCGATCATCGTTTGTATTGTGTTGGCTGATGGCGCAATGGCTGTGTCGATCTGCGACGCCGTCGCCGACTCGCTTGATGGCAAGCTCTCATCGACACTTGCCTCTCCCCCACTCACGCTACTCTCTTCTCCAATAAGCCCCGACTCGATCGCAAACGTCACCACTGCATTCTCGCCTACAAACAACAATTTATTTCGATACCTGTGTTGTGCTTCGTTCATGCGTTACGTACCGACAAGCGAGATCCCGGTCGGTGACGTATACGTCCACTCCTTCACGAGTCCGGAGCCTGATGGCCTCTTCGCCACTCCACGGAGCTGTCGCCACAGATGCTTGAAGTCGACCGCTCGAACCATAAGCGTGTCTTGAACTACCGACTGCCTGATTCTCGTACTGGATCGTACTCTTGCCATTGTGGCAAATTATGGAATGAGACACCGCTGCTTCGAGTCGGCAGCCTCGACACTCATCCAAGTGTCCGGACTGACCAGATTACTGCAGCACATCTACCCCTTCCCCCACCCTTTCTTTGGCATTTCCTTTTTGACCTCTTCTAGCTTATATTTTTTGGCAGCAAAAAAAACTTGATTTAAGTATCGTATCCACTTTGTTCGAGCCATTTTCTATCTTGGGATCCCAGTAACGTCGTAACTTACGACTTGTGCCCTCCTTGAAGTCGTAAGTTGCGATGTTGGTAACGGAGGAATTCAATAACTCATATGATTACGCAGAAGAGATCTCAGAAGCGGAAAACGAGTTCTTCTTTAAGCAGTACATCGAAACGGGCAAAGTAAAGCAGTTCAACGTAAAGAAAAATCCTTAGACCGCATGGATGTTATTGGAGCGTTTAGCGAATACGTTGCCAGCAAGAACTCGGGTATTAAAGGATCGAAAATGATTAACAGCAATGCGTACTTTGGTTGATATCGCTATTGCTTTTACATTCAAAAAGGCAACAAACTGCTAGAACAACTATATTGTAAGAACGAACAGATGATGGTCAGCATCTGTGCGTCTGTCAATCCGGCAGCGTTAACCCCACCCTGCCGGGCGTTGCTCTTGTGCTAAAGCAAGTGCTGTTACCGCTGAGCTGAAACCTCAGCGGTTGCTGCACTTTGTAGCATTAGTGACAACGGCCCCCCCCTGGTTCATATGTATTTATGGTTTATCTATCCCAATAGATACTAGCATTGTTTTTATATTAACTTGAGATTTGTCGCTTCTTAAGCAATCTTGGAGTCCATGAAATTACACATGGAATTGAACAGCTTTTCGGTATGGTCGTTTCTGTTTTTGCTCCATGATTGCTTTGTATGTTATATCAAATAAAATATTCCTCAAAGATGTCAATCTCAAGCGTCTTGTCGCTGCCAATAGATGTGAAAGCACCATGGAATATCCGCCCCCGACGGTCTTTAGGTCTGCTTAGCGGAGCTGTAGCGGGCTTTGCAGGAGGATTGGGTGCGTGATCGTATGAATGGTCTGGCTTAAATGATACTCCGGAAGCATCGCTCGGTTTGCAATCTTGTTGTAGCTCGTGTTAGCAGCCATGGTGCTGTGCAGTAGATTAGCGTGTACATCGTTCATCTCGCGATTGACACGTTCAGCATAAGCTGCCGAATGGCTCAAATGAGACTTAGCAATGTGCCGGATCATATTCATTGACATTGGATTTCCATTGTACTTTATGAAGAGCTTTGACAGAACTTGACTAAAGCTATTGCTTAAATTTGTATAATCAGACTCGCCTGGTTGCGGATTGAACATGCTCGGTAGTAGCTTACTTGGCTGCTCTCCAAGTGTATTAGCAAAGAAGTCGAGGTAGGACTTAATCAAGCTCATTGTGGTGCTATCCAACTGAATCGTTCGTGATCCCATGAGACGAACATTCTTGAAATCCTTGAGATGTAAAACGTTTCCTCAGAGGTAATTTTCATCTTCTGCTGGACTGAGAAGAACGCTCGGTCATACCAAACGAAGCGGATAATGCACGTTCAACCACAACATGGTGTAATCAAACACAACCTTCAAGTAATCACTTATCTTTGCTCTCAATGCGGCAGCTTGATCAAATCGATCTGTCATTGTCTGTAGAATACACATATAAGCTCTACACATCAGACCAAGATCTACGTATGGTTTCTTGTATAGCATACCCGCCCAGCTCCAAGTATTATTGTTGTCATTAAACCATGACCACTTCATCAAACAACACAGGTCGTATAGGCGATGATCGTAGATCTTTTTTAAACACAGTATTGGGCAACATTCAGCTCTTCAATCATAATTGGTACATTGAAGTTTACAACGGACGACACTTCAGCTGGTGGTTGCAGAACGGACCGACATTTCCAGTAGGTCAACGCATGTTGCTAGCACATAAGGATTACCCAGGTTCCCTTTCTACTTTTTTGTTTGACAGGTTGACAACCACCAAAGAATTTCTTTTAGATGGGGAGTCGTTCCACGCATTGGAGAAAGCCCCGACGAAAGCGATCGTCCCTAAGCTGAAAGAAGGCAGATACCGGCTGCCACGTATCCCCCGCTGCTCCCGTACACGGATCAAGACCTGATGCTGGCTCAAGAGACGATGACGCGTACTGTCGCGATCTAAGGCAGCGAGACCAGTCGCCAGGTCGAAGCCTTGGCTCAGCAATCCGCAGCTGCACAGCAGATGACGGCTGCCCAACTCGTCCACGTGTATCACCAGCAAGAGCAGCTGGCGGCAAAGACGTCGAAATAGCTGCAGGCACAACACAACCGTCGGTCTGCACTGCTAGACAGCAACAGGAAATGAAAAAAAAAAAACGGATGAGCACCGGCACTACCTGGAGGAGCAGTATCGACTGCTAAAGGCTGCTGAAGAGGCCAGGGGACTGCAGGGGTGAGCGGATTAATAGCCTTGCAGAGGCGGTGCAGTCGCACTTGCAAGCGCGATGGGGAGCTTTCGCTCAAGGTGCATCACCACCGAGCGACCCGCGAGCTCCAGAGCCACCCGCTGTCGCCGTGGCGCAGATACGAACTTGCCTGACCCGCCTATTTACTGAGGCAGAACAAAAACTGAGAAGAGTGGCTATATGGACAGCTACGCTTTTTACTCACGACGTCTTATGGCGTTAAATCAGAGTACTCAAGCAAAGATTTTGTCATGCCGTTAAATACATGCATTGAACAGGGCACGATGGTGAGGATCTGCGGCTTTGAGCTGTTTAACCTTCATTTCCCATAGAGCCCACGCGTGTGCTTCTGCGCCCGCGGGTGGGCTTACTTCTACAAATGGACCATTGTCCTCAGCAAAGTTTCCAAAGTCAGTTGAGAAGTTAATAATAAAACAACAACGACGAGGAGCTCAGCGCATTTTTTTCGACGTCATACGAAGCTTTCATCATGCCGAAACACGCTGTGGGAGATCGAGTACGCGAAAAGACCAAATCGGCCGATCGTTTGCGAGGTGTGGTCCTATCGATAGACAGCAGCAAGCGACAGTCTTGGTACGATGTCCAATGGGATGCCGGCAGAGTTGAAATGGTCGCAGCCCGCTCAATTCAGGCCTTGCGACCCTGCAACGCTCCAACACAGCCACACCAGGCACTTGAAGGACCTATAACGTCACTTTTACTGGGCAGCGTGGGGGAAAAAGAAGATAGTAGCCCATCATCTTCTGATTTTGAAGAATCGGAAGAAAAAAAATAAAGACTGCACCGATTTTAATTATACTTCGGCAGCCTCCGAAGTAGCAGCGCCTGGAATATCGGATGATGGAAAAGCACTCGCATATAACCGGAGTTGGGAATTCTGCTCAAACGTTTTAATAGATTCGGCCGTATTACTACGCAAGCGAACGACTTCCGTTGACCATCAGCCCTTCAATTAGGTGAAAAACATTTATCAAATACTTCTATTTAATGCATCCGTGGTCGGCAATTCAGAGTACGATCAAGCACACAAACGCTAAGCTGGCGGCCCGTCGTCAACGTACAATACCAGAAGGGGACTTGTTTCGGTTTCTTGGAGTCCGACTCGCTATGGCAGCAGAACCTAGACGAGCTGCCCTACGAACCTACTGGGAAAAAGACATTCCTGAGGGTTTTGTTGGAGCCTCTCCCAATTTTGGGGAACGTTTTGGTGTATCACGTCACACATTTGAACACATTTCGGGTGCATTGTCGTTTGCAGATGACGTGATGTCGGATGACCCATGGAAGCCAATGCGTGCTCAAGCTAACAGCTTTAATGATCGCCGACGTGGAGTAGTTTCGCCAGGTGAGATCATGTGCATTGACGAATGTATGAGGGCATGGCAAGGTAGAGAAGCAAAGCACTGTCATGATGGTATCCTCCATATGACGAAGATACCGAGAAAGCCGGAGGGTATTGGTGCTGGGTTGAAGGCTATAGCTGACGGTGACTCAGGAGCTCTATTGGGTCTAGAACTCGTTAAAGGAGTGGAGCGACAGAAGTAGAAACTATATTAAGCTCTTCCGGTGAGGGAACGGCTATCGTGCTTTGATTGTCGGAGCCTTACAAAGGGACAGGGCGCAATATTGGTGCAGATAGTGCCTTCTCTTCTGTCAAAACGTTAGTCCAGCTTGAGGCACTTTGCGGTTTATATTTTATGGGAATGGTTTAGACAGCCTCGCGAGATATCCAAAACAGTACATGAAAGACTGGTTTTCGATTGGGCCTTCTCGCGGCTCATTCAAAATGCTACAAAGCAAAACTTCAAAAGGCCAGCCAATGTATGCACTTTGTTGGGCCGACCGCAAGCCAAAATGCATTATTTCCAATCGTGGTACGTCTCTTCCTGGTACAGACAGCGTTCGGCGACGTCATAAACTTCTAGATGACGGTGGTCAAGCTAAAACACTGCAGTACGAGCGTAGAATACAACGACCTCACATGGGCGAGCTGCTCTTTTCAAAAATTTCCGCTATTGACGTACACGACCATCTACGACAAGGATGCCTCGAGATGGAGCGACCATGGCTCATCAAACAGTGGCATCATCGTATATTTGCCACCCCTTTTGAAATGTAGTCGACGCCTATCGTGCTTACCAATGCGAATCGACTGCTGCAGGCTGCTTGGACTCAACCATCGCAAATTTCAATTCGTTCATCTCGCAGTTGGCCCACCAACTAATCTTCAGCAGCTTCATAATGCAGTGATCAACGCGTCCTGGTAGTAGTACCGATTCTTCTGGAGTACAAACCTTTCTGACGCGCGCATTGCGAGCATTTAGCTCTTTAGCTCAATACCAGCGTCTTAGTGGAGCAGCTTTGCAGGCTCAACGAAAGTGTGGAGTCTGTGGAAAGAAGGCATCATTTTACTGCGTTGGCTGCTCAGACCCACTCATAAACCAGTTCTTCGGCGTGTGTAGGCTAAAGACAAACCGAAATTGTCATTGCGCATTCTCCTTACGTATAAATCCATCCCATACATTTTTTTATAATTGACTAATGCTTCAAATGCACGCGTGGGCTCAAAGGTGATCTCACGCGTGAGCTT